AGAGAGAGAGACCTACAGAAGGCCACCAGCTCTCTCTAAGAGAGAGAGAGAGACCTACAGAAGGCCACCAGCTCTCTCTAAGAGAGAGAGAGAGAGAGAGACCTACAGAAGGCCATCAGCTCTCTCTAAGAGAGACCCACAGAAGGCAACCAGCTCTCTAAGGAGTGTGCTGCTTGTTCTGACCCTTTTGGGCATTTTACCATTTTGTTGCTTACTCCTACATAGCATGTGTCCCCTAAAGATGAAGATATTTTTATGCCTGACACCCTCAAACAAATATTAATTCAACAATATCACCCAGTTAGGGGCTTTTTCTTAAAAGGAACTTTCCTGTTGGTCCCTGGCGTTTACTTGTGCTTTGAAGCTGACAAGACACTTTGATCTAAACCCACAGGATCCTTCAGAGCAACTATTGGTGTCGCCCTCTTCTAGGGAGGAAAATAGGGGCCAGAGAGGGTGAGTGGTCCACAAAGGTCACACAGCCAGTACTCAACAAAGGCAATCTCAGTCCACACAATCACCATGACATTACAATTTATTCTAAACAATATTTGTCCAGACCTTAGACCCCAAACCCTTAACACCCCCCCCACACACACACATGCACACAGTGTCCGTTCTTCCCAAAATCATGAACCCTTTCCCAGCTTCAGATGGTAACCACCTCGATGTGCTGCTGGTGACCCACCTTGGCCTCTGCTGCGGAACAGTGCCAGGCAACCCACTTGGACCTTGCACTTAATTTAAGCCAACATGACTGATGGCAAGGTTTCTCTGAACTGTATTACGCTCGATTCCTACTCCACTCCCTGAGCCGAGAGTGAAGACTTCCCTCTTCAAAGCCTGGAATGCTGAGGAGAACTGGCCGATTTGCTCCGTAGGAGGTTGGGGTGGGGATGGGGGGGGACGACTGACTAGTGCCCTTGAAGCCCAGCAATAGCAGAAAGCCCAGCTGCCCCCAGCCACTGTGCCCCTCAGATCTGGCCACTTCTCTGCCTTCCTGTCTGAACTGCAGCAGCAGCCACAGCCCTCACCTGGCCGGGTGTGGCAGACTGTCCCTGCTGAGGCGGCTGCTTCATCCACACCCCTGAAATCTAGCTGCAGGACATTCATTCACCGCATCCAGTGACACCCAGGTGTGTGGCCTTTGCAGCTTGCCTCCATGTGGCCCCAGATGTTCTCTTCTCATGCAGTGTCCCCACCCCCAAGGGCCAGCCATGCTGGCCTCGTTTTCCTCCAGCAAGCCTGGCTTCCATATCGCTGCCCGTTTTTCACCTGGGATGTTCCCTACTCTTTCTACACAGTTTAGGCTTGCACACTCCTAAGAAGAGTTTGGAGTGCAGGCTCTGTGCCCGGAGTTAGAGCCTCACAGCGCCCTGACACCTGTCCCATGATCACGTGCAGCCCCAGTGTCTTCACAGTTAGTGCCCAGGAAACTGTCCGGTGACTGGGTCCAGAGGAAACAGCAAGACTCAGAGAGCAGGGAAAGCCGAAAGTCGCTGGTTAGGGTCAGAGCCAAACCGGAGCTTGGGTTTTCTGCCGCACGCTGCTGTCCTCACCGTCTTTGGGCTCCGTGGACAAGAAGGACCCCTCACCCTGCTGTCCGCACAGGACTCTGAAAGGATGGCTAGCCCACCCTGGCCTTTTCCTCATCTCTACCATCCTACACAGATTCATGCATGCATTCATTCATTACCTTCACAGTCTACTGATTCATCAAGTTTTTAATGAGCGTAATTGTCCCCACGGCAACCACAGTGAGTGGAACAGACAGGGTGCTGCCCTCTTGTTACACCAGAAGGAATCCAACCACATCAGATCACAGACAGAGTATGTAGTCACAGAGGAGTGCAAAGAGGAAATGGATGAGGCAGAAGGTAGACGTGCCGGGGACAGAGCTGCCCATCAGCTGCAACCGCCATCTCCCTTCCCAGCAGAGTGCCGGTGGCATTGGGTGTCAGCAGCTTGGCTCCCTCTGCAACTCTAAGATACCCTAGGTCCCAGGTAGGCTTCACAGACACAAAGGTCCTTCCAGCCCTCCCCCAAGGTGGCCCAAGAGGGAATGTGGGACTTTCTCAGGCCAGTGAGGCAAAGGTAACTGCTGGGGAATTAGGGCTTCTGGGAACAGTATCCCACTTCTAGGAACAGTATCCCAGATTTAAAGAGAAAGCCACAAGAAGGGCTAGCCTCTTCTTCCTCAGTGTGTCTCACCCAGATGTGATGGCTAGAGTGTTGTAGTCCCCAGGCAAGCCACGCCGTATTCCAATGAACAGAGAAAGAGCTGGACCCACAGTGGCCCCTGTCTGAGGAGCTGGCGCAGCCAGCCCTGGAGCTCCCTGACTTCCTAGCCATGTGAGACGAGGGGTTTTTCCTAGCTGTTGCAATCAGCTGGACACAGGTCAATCATATCTACTTCTGTTTCTGTTTCATCCCCATCTCTGCCCTCTGTGCCCGCCATGTAGTCAGCATGCTGTATTTGTGGAATGAGCAGTGTGTCGGCGCCCCCCATAGCAGATCTGGTGACAAGGCTTCATGTGCCACATGGAGGCAATGTTTCAGGGGACAAAAATAAGGGAGTAGAAATGGGACAGAGAGGTGGGGGAGGGAGCACAGCGCTGGAACCGAGCTGTTTTCTCCCCCCTCACTCCTCACCCTGGCTAAGGGTGCTCCCAGGGAGCACCAGTAGTCAGACCCGTCCTCAGAGCAGCCCGAGATCAGTGACGCTGGCAGGAATGCAGCACAAGTCAGCAAGGACCTGGGTGGGGCACTAGCACTCTGGGTCGTGCAGTGTGTGCCCATGAATGCAGCTGACTCTCTGTCTTAGTCAGGGTTTCTACTGCTGTGATGAAACACCAAGACCAAAAGCAAAAAGAGTTTACTTCACATGACAGCTCCTAAGTCCATCACTGAAGGAAACCAGGGCAGGAACCTATAGCAGAACCCATGACGAACACTACCAAATGGCTTGCTTCCCGTGGTGTGCCCATCCTGCTTTCTTACACCACCCAGGACCACTTGCCCAGCGGTGGCATTACCCACAGTAGGCTGGGCCCTCCCACATCAATCATCAGTCAAGAAAATGCCCCACAGACCAGTTTTGTGGGGACATTTTCTCATCTGAGGGTCTTTCTTCCCAACTGACTCTAGCTTATGTCGAGGTGACATAAAAACTAGCCAGCACCGCATCCAACAGACAGCAAAGCAAAGCTTGGTCTGCTGTCACCTCCACTTTATCCTTCTTTGGACCAGAGGGGAGGCTGCCTCAGGTCCAAAAGGATAGCCAAAAGGAGCTTACCTCTTATTGATATGCAAAAAGACACTTTGCTTATAAAAAACATTATCATGCTTCACTATGCATCTCCAGATTCTTCTTGCAAAACACTGAAATCTAGCTCATAATTTGATGATAAAATATTGATTATTTATCTACAGCTGCTTGCGAAGGTCCATAGCATGTAGATGGGATGCCCACCCTGCATTACCTTGTATTTTAAGTCAATATGAAGATGGATATTCTACCCCTGAGATGAATTTTGATAAAATACTGTGTCGATAAAAAGACACTAATGTCAGAGTGCGTCAGTTCCTGCAACTGGTCTGGGTTCTGCTTCTCCACACACCAGCTGCCTCCAAGAGAGGCTTGCAAACTCCAGCAGCTCCTGGTCAGTCTGCATTTTTCTTCATTTAAGTTGTGTGAGTGGGAAATGTCAGGGGAATGATGGGTTGGCAGGGAGCTGCCCACCCACTCCCACACTCCAGTTGAGAGGGAATGAAAATAAAAGCAAAGGCAACTTGCAAACAAATCTGGGAGAAGCTTCACTGCCATCCTTAGCAATGTGCTTGTCTTCTGCTTCCAAGAAGGAAAAGCAGTGTGGCCCATCTCTGGACTGTGAGCACCTGCTGTGCTTTCCTGTTTAGCAGGAATTGCCACCTGAAGCTCAGGTAGTACCACTCTAAAAAAATTTTTATTGACTGTCCTAAATTGTTTGTTGGGTATGAATTTTATCAACATTACCTGTATTCATGGTAACAGTGGAGCTGGAGAGAACTGCACCTTCTCCAGGCTGCAGGTGAGAGCCATCGATAGTGTGGTGGAACTTACAGCCATTTCCAAGGCCAGGGCTCTTGTGGCCAGCAAATGTCAGCCTTCACGGCTCTCTGTGTTTGTGGACTGGTCTGGTGATCCACTGGGTGTCAGGGTTTCTTCCGCTAGCTTTATGGAACGGAACACTTCCTTCCCTCCCAGCAGATGAAACACAGACACTCAGAGGTCTTTAGCTCCATTCGCTGCTGTATGTCCAGTGTCTGAATGCAGGATTAATTTACCTGTCTGCTCCATTCATCCCACAAACTGAGCTGTGACTATGCAACAGGACTCTGGGATTCACCAGTGAACCAAACAGGTATCCAAATGGGTTTTGAAGAAATAGTAATGAATAAGTACTGGCTAGAGTGAGTCAGTAACTTCACTGGAAGTGAACGATAGAAGAAAAGTGAACATTGCAGTTTTAAACAGAGAAGGTAAGTGTGGGCCAAACCCTGTGACAGGTGGGAGCGAGGCAGCAGCTGTAGAGGGGAGGGGAGGTATTTCCAGGCACTTGCAGGAGCCAGTGCCAGCATGCTAAGGCAGGAATGTGCCTGGCTTATTTGAGGGAGAATGAGTGGCTGGGATGAAGTGAGCTGGATGTTCATGATTAACTTAGAAGAATGAGTCTAAGCTCCAGGGCCTCCTTACCCCACCCCCATCACATGGAGGGTCTCTAGGAAGAATGAACTAAGAAAAGATGGCACCCCGGAACCCTGGATGTGGCCTGCAGGAAGTGACTCAAGTCTATCATTTTTCAGGTAACAAAGTCACTTGTAGCTGGCAATGTCCTGATTAAAGGCATTGGACCCTGAAGGGATTTGGTGCATGGTGGGATCAGAAAGACCCTCCATTGGCTAGTTCTGGGGCCTTGGGAAATCTAGCCCTGGGGGAAAGTCTGGAATCCAGCTAGGCAATGGTGGCCTGCGGAGCTGGCAGGTGAGAAGCAACCTTTCAAATTTGCAATTTTCAAGTGTCAGAATGATGTCGTGTGGCTCCTCTGATGCCTGGCACGGGGAGCGGGTCCTCCTGCTTTCCATCAACACGTCTGCTGTGTGAGTGTGACCTTTGCACTCTCACCATCCAGACCCTGAGACTGAGAATGCCAGCTCCAGTGCCGGCTTCCACAGCACCCCAGCCCACCCACCCAAGGACGAGACCAAAGAGCAGCACAGTGCTTCTAGAAGATTCTATTCAAATCAGAGACCCTCTCAGCATCTCTCTTCAAGGTGCTGGAGAGACAGAGATGCACAGGCTGTCCTCTGAAAGGCAAGCAATCTAGCAGACAGGCATCTCTGTAGTTCACCTATATGTGGAACACTCCATGCTAAGGCAGACACCAGGTGCAGGGCCCAGACTCCTCACTCAGGAAAAATGAACATTTGCCTGTGAGCATCTGTGTGTGGCCCATGAAATAAGACCTACATGTTTGTAGCATTTTGGACACAAGAACAGCCAAGATGAGCAGACTCCAGCTTATGGAGAGATTTGTCCAGGAGGGCAAAGGTCATACAATGGAACAAACTTTTCAAAGGATGACTTCTGAAATTGCTAAGTGCCACTATGAAATAGTCAGGTATTGCAACAGAGAGGCACCAGTGAGTGTGGGCAGGATAGAGATAGGCAGGGCCCAAGAGTAGGAAGGAGACATCTGTGAAGCCACCCCCGGCAGAGGGACTGGGGGTGTATAGGCCTGAGGAGGCAACAGCTGGGCGTGGCTGAGGACCATATACAGGCTCAGTGTGGGGCTCAGTGAGCAATGGGGAGGGTGATGAAGAGTGGGGACCGGGTCATTCCATGCTTTGTCTACCTGTCCATGGCCAGGAGTTGTAGTTCCGTCCTGAAGCCGTTCACACTGCCACAGTGTCTCCCACAAGGTTTGTTAACATTCCCACCTTGGCAGGCCATGAATGGAGACAAATACACCTCCTGCAGCAATAAATTTGCTCAGCAGAGGAGCATTGGCACCTCACCTAGTTTTGATTGGTTAACTGACTGAGAGACAGGGTCTTACTATGTAGCTGAGGCTGGCCTCCAATTCCCAATCCTCCTACCTCAGCCTCCTGAGCTCTGGGATTGCAGGTGCATGTCAACATGCCCCCTCCATGATTTTCTTTAGAAAACTGAGGAGTAAATGTAGCCCTGGCATGAAAGCAAAGGCCACAATAAGGGAGGCCTGGAAAACACCATGAAAAGGCACGGCGGGGGGGGGGGGGGGGAGGAGACACTGTGGGGTGAGTGGGCATGGTGGAGCTACTCGGGCAGTGGGACCAGGAGAAGGACTCTAGACCGGGAATGGTGAGGAAGCTGTCATGTCAAGAGCAGATTTAAACTTACTGGCCAGTCTGGACCCATGTGGCTGCTGTAGTTTGGTTCTAGGATGCCCCACACAGGAGCTTGTGCGGAAGGCATAATCCTGAAGATGATGATACTGGGGGGTATTGAACCTCTAAAAGGTGAGGCCTCATGGGAGGTCCCTGTGTCACTGGAGGCCCGTTCCTGAAGTGGGGACTGTGCAATCCTAGTCTCCCCATCTCTGTCTTTGTTCTTCACCTTGAGGTGGACAGTTTTGCTCCACCCATTACACAGCCACGGGCCCAGAGCCACAGGCCTGCTCCATCGTGGACTGGGAGCTCCAGAATCCTGAACCAAAACAAACTGCTTCTCTTTGTGCTTTGTTTAACAGCCTGGACACATCCTTCTAGTGCCTGGCTGTCCATGCTCCGTTCACTCTGCTCTGGAGAGATGTTGGAGCCGTGGCCGCCAGCTGGAAGGGAAGGGCGAGGCCCCAGGTTTAGCACAAACCGTCTTCTTGGTCCAGCCTCTGCCATGTGTGTACAAAGGAAGCATACTTCTTGATGGCATGGGTAAGGACAAGGGTACGGAAGTAACTGGGAAAACAGGTGTGCCCTTCACCCACTCGGCTCACAAATCAGGGAGAAGCAGGGCTCTCAAACCTCCTCAAGATAAGAGCAAGTCCTCCACACCTGGCTGGCAGATGTGGAGCAGGGCAGGGCACACACAAGACAGGGTCTCTCCAGCCAGCTCCTGGGCTCTTTGGCTTGGTTTCCTGAACAGAGAGGGCAGGAGGAGTTACATGCCTGGAGATGCAGTCAAGAGGATGGGTCCTGGCCTCTTGAAGACATCAGTTCAAATCCAGCTCTAATTTGTGCCACTCACACAACTTCTCAGAGCTGCGTCCTCATCAGCAATGGGGAGCTGGCAGCAACCTCAGCCAGTGCCTGCATCCCATGTACACTGGTTCCTACTGACTCATTTTAGCTAAAATGGCTGCCACTACTATGCCCCTCCCTGGGTGATCCTCCATGGACTTTCTTCCCACATCGAGTAGAACTGACCCTGGGTACTGATGGCAGGGGTGGTTTCCAAGGCTTGGTCATAAACACCCTGTGACTTCTTTATGTTGTAGAATATTATTTTAAGATGTATTACATTTGTTTATGCTGTGGAACATTTGTTTAATGAGGCAAAGATGTATTGCATTCTTTTATGTTTCATTTGTTTAATTCTGTGAAGCTGTGTGACTGTGACTGTCTAAAACACCTAGTTGGTGTAGGAAAGAGCTGAATAGTGAGGCAGGAGAAAGGATAGGTGGGGCTGGCAGACAGAGAGAATAAATAGAAGGAGAAGTCTGGGAGGAGAAGAAAAAAGAGCAAGGGAACAAGGAGAGGAGGCTGCTGGGGGCCAGCCACCTAGCTACACAGCCACATAGCCAGCTACGGAGTAAGAGTGAAAAAGCAAGCTATACAGAAGTGAGAAAAGGAAAAAGCCCAGAGGCAAAAGGTAGATGGGATAATTTAAAATTAAAACCTGGCTAGCAACAAGCCAAGCTAAGGCCAGGCATTTATAATTAATAATAAGCCTCTGTGTGTGATCTATTTGGGAGCTGGGTGGCAGGCCTTCCAAAAGAGTAGAAACCAGCAACAACATCTTTACTGTCTGGATGATTCACTGGGGGTAGCAGCTCCCATGGCATGAGGACATGTCAGCCACCCTGGGACATAGCCCACATGCTGACAGCCTCAGGCCTCCTGCTCATGGTCAGCCAGCATTGATGACCATGATGAGGAGGATCCTCTTGCCCCACTCACTGAATGACAGCAGCCCAAGTCAGAGCCACCCCTACTGTAACCCTAAACTTGCCCCAGGCACAGGCTGGGGTGCCCACTGTGCTGTCTCTCAAGATACTAGTGCCAGCTTACCTGTTAAATAGCAGTGGGTAGTTATTCCAAGCATGTCTCCCTTTGAGGTGGCCACTTATCAAATAACATGCATGAGGCCTTCTCCCCTGCCACACACGGGCTGCTCTGCAAAGCCCCACGGGGGCCAGTTGTTCCGTCGAAACCTTGTCTTCAAATATGTGTGTGGCTCATATGAGGTATCCCAGATCCTGAGAAGCCGAGACAGGAGAATTGCTGTGACTTCTAGGCCAGCCTGAGCTACACAGTGAGCTCCACATCAGCCTGGGATGTAGAATGAAACCTGTCTCGAAACACAACAAATGCCCTCTGCAGAGGTCTCTTCCCTGGACCCTTGGAGTGCTGCCCCCTTCAGGAAAGACCTGGTCAGGGATTCTTCCTCCACATGGCCACAGAAATACTCTCCACTGCCCCTTCTTGGGAGATTCACCACGTGGCCTCGGAGTGCCAGGAGTGCCAGAGCCAGTCACGTTTCACCCGAGCCTTGGCTCCTGGGAGGCTCAGTTCCACTTCAGATGACTGCCAGGGGTTTGCAGCGGGAAGACTTCAACACTAACCTAACCCTCACTCTGTGAGGTTAGCCAGTGGCAGTCTGACCTCACTTTAGCCCCCTGATCTTCCTCATCTACCTGTTTTATCGATTTGTGTCTTCTTTTAAGTTGCAACAAATCCTTAGTGAAAGAGGCAACATTAAGCACATCCTCCCCTGGCAGTCTGGGACATGGCCAGAGAGTCTGTGTGTAGGACAGAGACCTCTTCTGCTGCCTGTGGACAGCACACTCTTTCATTCCTTTGATCCCTCGTCTCCTACCTCACTTCCCCATGGTCCCATTCTGCTGGCAGGTGGGATGTGTGGAGCGAATGCCCTCAGGAAGTGTCGGGACCTTCATCATACCATCACAGTCATCTTTAGCTGTTGAATTGTCTGTGGCCATCATCCAGATCCACGGGCTTTTCTGGAAGGAGCCCAACAACCTGTGGAAGAAGCCTGCCCTGCTCCCCAGAGGCCATGCTAGCTGGCCAGTCTAAGGCTCAGCCACACCAAGGGTACAGACTCAGCTGCCACTAAAACCCCAAACAGGAAAGAAGCACACTGACTCAGGATCCCAGTCAAGATAAGCACTAGCTAAAAGTGGCAATCTGGGTCAGAAGCAGGTTCCAAAACCCTGGGAGGTTACATCCTAGGAGACATTATGGTAAGAAGTCGGTGTCATTGAGACTAGCCCAGTACCTTCCTGCCTCTAGCTTTCTGTCCAGCAAACACCTTCTGATTTCAACTAGCTTCCCACATCATGGTGGCAGTAGGGGTGAGCATATGGACAGAGAGGATGCCATTGGACTGTTTCCCTTGGCTTTTTTTTTTTTTCATTAAAAAGCCAAACTTCCAGTTTCACATGCACGTACACACACACACACACACACACACACACACACACACATAGGGGGCTCGTTTACTTGAGGTCCCCATCGTGGTGAAGGGGATGCAGGTGAGGAGTTCCAGCTCCTGGGTGTGGATTGAGCAAACCCTAGGCGAGGTCTCTTGGGTTTAATTCCACCCCTTTCAGCACATCAAATCCCTAGAGCCTAGTCACAGCAGGTAAGCTCCCAAGATCCCTTCAAAGAATGACTCCTGAGCTGGGTGGCACACATCTTGGAAGGGTAAGGCCAGCCTAAACAACATAGCACCCCCC